AAAAAAAAAACAGAAAGCATTTCCTCTAAGATCAAGAGCAAGACAAGAGTATTGACCCTCATCACTCCTATTTAATGCACTAAAAGTTTTAGCCAGAGCAATTAGGCAAGGAAAAGAAATAAAAGGCACACAAGTAAAAAGCAAAAAATTTACAAATGATATGATTCTATACAGAGAAAAACCAAGAGACTGTAACTGATAAAGAAATTCAATAAAGTAGCAGGATACCAAAGCAACATGCAAAAATTAGTAATTTTTCTTTACACCAAATAATGAACTTGCTAATAAAGAAATCATGAAAGCAGTCCCATTCACAACAGTGACAAAGCAAAAATAAAATACCCAGGAACAAACTTAAAGAAAATACCTTTATAAAAAAAATTACGAAACACTGAAGATAGAAATTGAAGACAAAAAAAATGAAAAGATCTCCCACATTCATGGATGGGAAAATATTGTTAAAATGTTCATACTACCCAAAATGATCTACAGATCCAATGCAATCCCCATCAAAAAAAAAAAAATGACATTCTTCACAGAACTAGAAAAAAATCCTGAGTTTCATATGGAAACATGAAAGACCCAAAATAGCTAAAGGAAACTTGAGCAAAAAGAACAAAGCTAGAAGCACTGCAGTACCTACATCAAGACATACTACCAAGCCACAGCACTCACAACAGCAAGGTTTTGGCATAAAACAGACACATGAACCAACAGAACACAATGGAGATCCAAGAAATAAACCTGTCACACATATGACTCTCAATATAGGCATCAAAAACAAACATTGGAAAAAGGACACCCTCTTTAACAAATGGTGCTGGGGAAACTGGATATTCACATAGAGAAGGTTGAAATTTGACTTCCCTCACCCTGTACAAAAATCAACTCAAAATGATCAAAGACCTAACTGTAACAACAAACTAGCCAGGCACAATGGTGCACATCTATAATCCAAGTAACTCAGGAGGCTGAGTCAAGAAGATCACAAGTTCTAGAACAGCATCAGCAATTTAGTAAGGCTCTAAGCAACTTGGTGAGATCCCGTCTCAAAATAAAAAATAAAAAGGGCTGGAGATGTAGCTCAGTGGTAGAGCACCCCTAAGTTTAAAACCCAGTACTTCCCCCCCAAAAAAAAAAAGAAAAAAAGGAACTGAAATTACAAGAAAAAAAACATAGGGAAAACAGTTTAAAACATTGGTATAAGCAATAACTTTCTGGATAGAAGTCTAGAAGCAAGCGACATGGACAAATGGGACTATGTCAAACTGAAACACTTCTGCACAGCAAAGAAAACAATCAACAGGGTAAGGGGACAACCTACAGAATGAGAGGAAATATTTTTCAACTCTTCCTCTAACAGAGGGATAATTCCAGGATATATAAAATAATTTTTAAAATCTGATTTTAAAATGGGCAATTGATATGAATAGACACTTTGTAAAAGAAATATAAGTGGCAAAAAATATGCAAAAACGTTCAATATCCTTAACCATCAGAGAAATGCAAATCAAAACCACCATGAGCTATCATTTCACCCCAGTTAGAATGGCTATTATTTAAAAAATTAAGAATAAATGCTGATGAGGAGGTGGAGAAAAAGGAACTGTTAAACACTGTTGGTAGAAACATAAATTAGCACAGCCATATGGAGAACAATATGATGGTTCTCAAAAAACTAAAAGTAGATCTAAAACATGACCCCACTATTTCACCTCTTGGTATATATCCAAAGGAAATGAAATCAACGTACCAAAGTGATACTTGAATGCCCATGTTTATTATGGCTCTATTCACAATAGCTGGAGTCAGCCATGGTGCCTATCAACAGATAATGTGGTAAATGTATACAGTGGAGTATTATTCAGCCATAAAGAATGAAATACTGTCATTTGCAGCAAAATATATGGAACCAGAGAACATTATGCTAAGTGAAATAAACCAGAAACGAACAAGTAAATAAATAACATTTTATTTCATATATGTAAAAAAAAGTCAACCTGAAAGTAGACAGTAATTACGAGGGATTGGGGAGGGGAAAGGTGGTTAGCTTTAATCAGTGCACACTGAATCCATTAATATGAACAATTAATACATGTTAACAAAAAAAATTTAAAGACTATTCTAATCAAATCTCAGATGGAAATGAGGAATGGTTTACTGGAAACTGAAGGAAAGATGGACCCTTTTTATAAATTGACAAATTGTATCCTAGTGTTTGGCAGAAGATAGAACCTGCAAATAATAGAACTGGACATCTAGCAGAGGAGATTTCTAAGCAAAGTATAGAAGGTACTGCTTATAACAAAATGTGAGAGAAGAAAAATGAATTAAAGAATTAAAAGCAAAAAGGACCAGAACTTGGAGAGTTAGAAATTCTCAACCTACCCATTTTAAAAAAAAATATGACAGCAGAATGCATTTCGATTCATTGTACACAACTGGAGCACAACTTTTCATTTCTCTGGTTGTACACGACGTAGTCACACCCCATGTGCAGTCATACATGTACCTAGGGTAATGATGTCCATCTCATTCCACCATCTTTCCTGCCCACATGGCCCCTCCTCTCGCCCAGTCAGAAAGTTCCTCTATTCTTCCCATGCCCCCCGCATTATGAATCAGCACCCACTTATCAGAACATTCAGCCTTTGTCAACCTATCCATTTTGAAGAGGGAGGGAGATGGGGGGGGAAGAGAGAAGAAAAGGAGGAGTGAGTTTATTATGAAGCAATGATGCGACTGAGCAGCCATCTATAAAGAAACCATGGGTGTAACTCATGGACTTAATCAGCCACCTCTACAAAAGAAATGGAGGGGGGATTATACCAGCAAACACACTACCAGTGAGAACTAGAGGGGACAGAGAAGGTAGGGTGGAGTGAAGGAAGGCTGCTGACCTCCTCAGAGTCCACAGGACTGGACCATATCAAACATGCACTATTCAAGGAAAGGGAAGAATAACCCCACTTACAATTCAGAGAACCAGGGCAGCCACTTACACAAGTCTAGGGACAGGGCTGGTTCTACCTGCTTTAGAGGGATGATACTTCCCCACCCCCCAGTGAGACTAAAAGGCAGGACATCAAACCAAAGAGGATTGTCCTTGAGACTTAAGATAAAATGAAATTTGCCTTGCTAGGTTTTGAACTCACTTGAGATATAGCAATCCTTCTACTTCTCCCTTTTGGAATGAGAATGCCCATCTGTGTCTGTCCCACCACTATATTTTGGAAGCAGCTAACTTGACTGGTTTTACAGGTTCACAGCTGGAGAAGAATTTTGTCATGGAACAGGACTCATACCTCACATCTCATAACTGATTTAGATGATATTTAAATGAGATTCTAGAATTAAGCCATTAGAGGTGATGCTGGAATAAGACAAGACTTTGGGCTGTTGGAGGGGAATGAATGGATTTTATAAGCAACAAGGACATGAATTTCGGGGGCAGGAGGCCAGTAGCAGAGTACTCCAGACAGAATCATATTCCTGCAAAACTCATACATTGAGACCCTTATCCCCCCATGTGACTATGGTGAAGACAGGTCTTAAAGAGGTAGAGGTTGTGACTATAATCCCATTGCAGTAGTGGCCTTATAAAGGATGAAGAGAGACCAGAGCTAGATAACTCTCTGGCATGGGAAGACACAGGGAGAAGGCAGATATTCTTAAGCTAGGAAGGAAGCCCTCTCATCAGAAACTGAACTCTACCGGACCTTGATCTTGGATTTCTCAGCTTCTGAAACTGAGGAATAAATTTCTGTTAAACCACCTAGCCTAAGGCATTTGTTAGGGCAGCCTGTACCAACACCCTTTCTGTGCCTCAGTGTCCCCGTTTGAGAAAGGGGGATACTCATGCCTCTCTCTTAGGACTGCTGTAAGAACAAGTTAACCCATACAAAACGTATAGCGCAGACACCGGCATAGATGAAGCATCAGGTCTTTGTGAGCAACTATTCTGAAGATGGAGGCTATCTTTGTGCTCAAGGTGCTTGGGTGACTAACTCCCACAAAGGTGCCACTTGTCCTGAGCTGGGCATTTAGAAAATGTCCACTCCCACAGGCCAGTGCGCAGGATTCCACACTCCTCTATCGTAAGCTTGCATTCCAATTAAAGGTTAATTTCCCTGGGAAAGGTAACAGCCACTTATTCCTCAAATTGATGAAAAGCACAAGGCAAGACATCAGGTGTGGGTCCTGAGAGGGTGAGGGTGAACGCTCAGGAGGGGCTGGGAGCAAAGGCTGACGGTCCTCCAATCTATTTCTTCAAAGCATGAAGTAGAAAGTGGAGTCGAGCGAGTCTGTGGGAGACAAGGCCATTTAAAGGGTGACTGTTAAACTCAGAATTATTGCAAATTTCTTAAAAAAAAAAAAAAAAGACTCCAAAATGTTCAAGACTGAATTTATTTTTTCTCTAGAAGGTGACCCTGGGCTTTTTCACTTTTCATACTTGTGGAGTCTGAAACAGAGAAGAAAGTCCATTATAAATAGCTAAAGGAAAAGAACAGATCACTCACAAAAGAAAAATAAAGAAATATTGGGGCTAGGGGCATAGAACACAGTATGAGTGAGGCCTGGGTTTGATCCCCAGTCCAAAATTTCATTTCATTTCATTAGTAATCAAAGATGTTCAAAGACAGCTGGGCGTGGTGGTGAGCACTTGCAATCACAGCAGCTTGGGAGGCTGAGACAGGAGGATCACAAGTTCAAAGGCAGCCTCAGCAACTGCAAGGTGCTAAGCAACTCAGTGAGAACCTGTCTCTTAAATAAAATACAAAATATGGCTAGGGATGTGGCTCAGTGGCCAAGTGCCCCTGAGGTCAATCCCCAGACCCCCCCCCAGACCCCCCCATCCCCCTCAAAAAAAAAGATATTTAAAGACACCAGTTTGTTTGTTTGTTTTCCATTTTTAGACATCTCTTTGTTGGCAAGAATGTGGTCAAACTGGCACTGTGCATTGCTAGTGGCATTACAAATAAGCAAGTCATAGAACATACCTACCTGTGACTCAGGAGCTCTTCTGCTTCTGGGAACCTATCCTGAAAAAACAATACAAAATACAGAAAGGGCTAAACACAACAGGCACTCTCCTACATTTATAAAAACAAAAAATTGAAAACAACTTAGGTGTCCAAAAATTTGAAAATTGTCCCCATTAATGGGTCACCTAAACATGCTCATGATTTAAAAAAAAAAAGTCACACAACTGTTATGTGCCCTGTGCTAATTTCTTAATTCAGTAGCATAAGGGAAAAAAATTGGAAGTATTTTAGTAGATTTCCAGCAGACATTTTACTAAGGTGGTGAAATCATGTGTCTTCTCAGTTTCCTGAAATCTCAAAGGAAGAATAAACCCACGACTGAAAAAAAACAAAAGCTTGACTCATCTCTAGGCAACTCAGACATTAGAACCCATTAAGTATATAATTGAATTTTTTTAAAAAAAAAGTATATAATTGTGTATGATAAAATGTTATTGCCAAAAGCTATAATTTAGTTTTAAAGTTGAATGTATTTTCTGGTCTGCTCTCCTTTCCACTTCAAGGTTGAGGGGTTTTCTTTTTTAGAATAAAAATGGTTAAAAAGAATTTGATACTATGGCCCACACCCCTCAAACACACTTCATTGACTGGCTAGATGTTGAGCAAGTTATTTTTGTTCTTTAGTTTCCTCAGACGCAAAGTGGAGAGAACTGTTTGTACCAAAGTAGTTACAAAATTTCAATAGGTTACTATGTAGAAAGGGCCAGGAACAGTGTCTGGCACAAAATAAGTATGAAGAGCTGTTTTTCTGATTTTTTAAAATCTTTTTTGTTTCAGTTGTAGATGGACACAATACTTTTTTATTTATTTATTTTTATGTGATGGTGAGGATGGAACCCAGCGCCTCACAGGTACAAGGCAAGTGCTCTACCACTGAGCTACAACCCCAGCCCTATTTTTCTGTTCTTGATTCATTCAGTCTTTAAGATTTTTTTCTGTTAGATTTAGCTTTAGAAGCCTTTTTAAAAATTAACTTTTTACATATACAGAATGTAAATTAAATCTAAGAAACAAATTCATGTATTGTTATGTTTACCTAAAGAATTAAAAGAGTAATTGAATTCTATCAGCCTGGGGTCTAGTGTATTTTAGATAAATTGTTTGAGTTTGTTTTTAAGAGTTAGCTGGAAAATTCCAGAAATCTAATATTTAAGAACCCAAATAGGAAAACTTGCTTATCAATGTTGTCTTTGATGTCACAGTTCATCAAAAAAAAAAAAATGATAGCTGGACCTCATCTAAGTCAAAGCGGGTAGTCTGAGGAATAGAAACTCAGCCTGTTGATTAACATCTTTCAGAACAGGGGTGCCCTGCCAGTGTGAGCTGTGCGGCTGGATAATCTGAGGTACTGTCCAATCACTTTTCATCCAATGAGCCAATGCTTGGTAGGGGGAGGTGGGACGAACAGAAGTCCTTGCTTACTTAGTTTTAGGGTTCAGTCCCCAGGCTCAACAATAGTTTGAAAAGCAACTTTCATTTGAAAGAGAATATATAGATTCTGGTGGGCCAGAGCTTAGATGGCTATTCATCAGGTAGCCGTAGAACAGGAAGAAGGCAAGATATGATGTGGGAAAACCTTCCTACAACCAAACATGGAGGCAGAAGTTGAAATGGCAGGAAGTAGTTGTTGAGAGGGGATGGAAGCAGTGTGAAGCAGCTCCCTGATCCCCGAGGACGACCCTGTACTATGCCGTCTTGGGCCTTGACCCAAGATGGGGAAGAGTTCCATAAGACAATAGAACCCAAGAAACAGACAGTAGAGTCTGAGGGAAACAGGGATTCGCCTCTACTCCCCAAATGGAGCCTCTCAGAAGAGGTAAGTGCCACAGAGCTGAGTGGCATCTCCAGGTACATGGATCCCAAGGCAGCCTTATAATCCCAACTGGAAGTGGGGAAGCCATGGAAACCAGAAGTCCTGGGTTCTGAATGGAACAGTCCCAACAAGTCTGGCTCAGAGTGGAGAAGACACCATGAGGTCACAGAATTTACAGGGGATGTCAGCTCAGCACCACCCAAGACCAGCGAAGCCCAAGGACAAGCAGAGTCCCTGCCAGCCTCCACGGTGCTCACTCCACACTGTACTTAGAGACAGAGGTGGGAGAGATGGCCTAAGAAGCAAAAAGCCCCAGATGGGGGCTGGGTATGTGGCTCAAGCAGTAGCGCGCTCGCCTGGCATGCGTGCGGCCAGGGTTCGATCCTCAGCACCGCATACAAGTGAAGATGTTGTGTCCACTGAAAACTAAAAAAATAAATGTTAAAAAATTCTCTCTCTCTTTATAAAAAAAAAAGCCCCAGAGGGATTCTGAACATTGAATGAACATAAATATTGAACATTCAATACTTATTCAAAAAAGATGGACCTTAACGGGGCAAGATATGGAATTTCCCTATAATCTGCATTATAAGGACTGAGACCTCAGGAACAAGTAGAATACAGCGTGGGAGGTAATGTTACGTTTCCTCACATCTAGGTCATGCCTATATCTGGCAACCTGCTTCAGTTGTCCATCTGGACCTAGAGACCAGAACACAGCAATGTAGTCCCAGCCTGGTCTTCTCATATCCAGGGAGACAGCTGTGTAACTCTTCCAGCAAATGAAGCTCCTATCATGAATGGAGCGTTGGCCACCAAACCCAATGCAGTCTCAGTCTCTTCACTGGGGGTCCTGTTCCTCAACACAGAATACATGGGACTGTCTCTGGTTCCTCATCTCAGACCACCCCAATGAGGCAGGTGCCTCAAACACATCTTTCACACCAGAGTAGCTGGAAGAACATACATAGGGAGGGAATTTCCAAAGAGGAAGAGTGATCTAAAGGGAACAAGAAGGGTCCCTAAAATAATGGAGTAGTATTTATAATCCCTTTACCCTCTCCATTAGGAGATCTACCATTAACACTGTGTTCTTGGAATTCCACTTTATGCCTTATCTGTCTGGATAACACAGGAATAAGGAAAGGACATCAAAGGTGGTAGGACACACCGATCTTCCTCAGAGGCTAGGGCTAACTTGTGTTGTCCTAGAATTTGGTGATTCTCCACTAACCCAAACAGCCATCTGTCTCAAGGAAAATGAGCAGCATATCCAAAAAGTCTGACCTCTCCTCTGAGACACCCTTCCATTCAATTCTGCCATTCTTTATGTTCACCTGGGGCCAATGAGATGGGCATATTACAAGGCTCTTTATAAAATCTCGTAAATACTCCTTCTGGAAGTCTAATGGAATAGACAAAGACTGACTGAAATTAATTTCACCACAAGGCCCATTATATGTAGAAAAGGATGGAATTATTGGCTCTCTCGAATAATGGTACACTTTCTGACAGGATTAGGTGACATACCAGATAGAGTTCTTGTCATAAAAAACACCAAATTTCACACACATACACTCGAAGCATGTAAACCTGCATTCATGATCAATTCAGTCTTCTTTACCCAGAGAAAAATTAAAAGGAATCTCCCTTTCTTATTTTCACAAAGAAATAGAAATTTGTCTTCCCTCTAACATTTTATCTTGATGAGATTTAGCCTTTAGGGTCTCCTCTTGGGCATCTGGTTGTATTATTCCTCAGTAGCTGCAACCTGGGAATCCTCCACTGGATGTATCATCATTGCCAACACAGATCCATCCTGCCCCGCCTGCCCCAGATGGCTCACCTTTCCAGAGTCCCAGACAACCTACAGCATATGTAGGATCAAAGCATCAGCTCCTAGACCCACAAACTTTAGAAAACACAGAAAATCCCAGAGCTGAACACACTCACTGGAGCAGCCTACCCTAAGCCCCATGCCTTTAGTCCAGAGCAGCACTGTCAATCACCTGAACAGGCAAGATGCTAGTACCGTGCAAAGAGGAGTGGTGGGGACTCTGGCAAACCAGAGAGCACCTGCCCCGTCCAAAGGGAGATTCAGCATTCCAAAATATCCTGCTGGGCTACACTCATCAGAACATGCCCCATCAGTCACCAGTGAACACCCAGGCAGGCAATGTGCTTCCTATGCAAAAACCTAGACACGCTGTGCTCTGTGATAGACTTCTTACTACTGCATGCCTCCGCCTGGGGAAAGGCAAGGTGCAAGATAGAAGAAGCTTCCAGGCTTTCCAAAAGTGTTTATCTGTTCCCCTCATTTCAGAGGTTAAAAATGTTATTGGAAGAATAGTCTCCAAGGAATAATTTCACAGATGACCACAACCTGGAGAGGGGGCAGTGGGAATCTACCACCCATGCAGCTTCCTTCTCTCAGACTCTCTTTCAAGGAACTTTCTCACAGCATGCCAAAATTCAGAAATCTATGTTGGCAGCAGTTCTAGGCCCCTGGGACAGCCATTTGTGTTCAGCCACATGTCCCTTTCCAAAGCCCCTTAAACCCTGGCATTCTTGGCATCTCACTCCAAAACTGAAGGTGTTTTGTTTTTCTTTTTTTTTTTTTTTCAAAGATGTAATCTCTACAGTATCACAGGCAATGCTGAATACAATTCAGAGCTGTATACATTATCAAATGCCCAAGCCACCATCACAAGTGACAAGTAGAAGGAATAAACATGGCAATACAACCAACACTTTGCTACCCAGCAATGCCCAACCCCAAGATGGCAAATACCCACACCTGGAAACTTCATTTTTAAACAATCCTCTTCCAGACCTTGAAACCAATCCTTATCCCTACCAAGCCCCGCTGTGGAACCCCTCATGGCTCCCAACCTCTCCGCCTACATGGATACTTGCTGCTTCAGTTCCCAGGCAAACCTGCTCTGGCCCCAGAAGTTAATCTCCGTCCCTGCCATCAGCAGATTCTTATGTACTTCATTCAGGATTCTGCCTCCCAGGAATGTTGTTGACCTTGCATAGCCCGTTCTGACCCTGTCTCCAAATCCCCTACAATGCCCATCCCTGCCAGCACCAGGAATTCCACTCCTGACCCCAAGGGCAGGAAGAAGGGTGCCTTTCCTGCACACTGAAGCTAGAAAGGGCCTTCCTCCTAAATCCTAAGCCCCTCTACATATAAGTGATTCAGTTCAATGAGCTACATCAGCTGTCACTAAGTCTCTAGTCAGGGTATCTGGCCAGGATTCTGAAACCCTGTGTAGTCACCCCTTTGGGTAACAAAGGATCCTTACAAGGATCCTTTTGTCAAATAAAGGCTAGCCTGAGCATAGTGTCCTTGACCTCATCCTAGTTTCTGATTGTAAAGTACAAGTTTATATAAAGTCAGTAGATAATTGTTCAACTCACATGCAAATAACAATCTCAGGGTTACATGTGTTAAAAGGGAAAATAATGTAGAAAAATGCTCACCTCAAAGGAAACATAATTTCCCCCTTTTTCCATCTGAACAATTCAGTCCTAATGCCAATAGTTGAGACAGGGTTAGGTAGGAAAAGCCATGATGACCCCAAGCAAGTATTGGGGCCCAAGCGGGTAAATTGGCATTAACACCAGAGGAAGCACCCATGCCTTTGGTAAGCATGGCCCAGGTGGAACATGAGAGCCAAAGAGAGGGCCCTTGTGAAGTCTGATAAATCCTAAAAAAGATTGAAGAGACCAGCCATACAGGGAGGAGATGGCAGCAGATGGGTTACACACAGGCATGTCCTTGGATAAATGGAATCATCATTCCAGGCTGGGGGTGGGACAACATGAGCTCAAAACATCTTCTGCAAGAAAAGAAGCGACTAAAGAATACTGATGATAAAACAAACAGAAAGGGGCTTTCACTGGCCACAATAAGGACAATTTGAGCAAAAAAAAAAATAATGACATATAAGCTACTGAATTTAACAGAAAACTATGCACCCATGCTAACATAAAAAGTAAATTAAAATAGTAAATTAAAAACAAAATGTACAGGTGTGCATCCATGTGATGCATGGCCTATACTCAGGAATGAAGAGGAAACACAAACTACTGATACAACAACCTGAATGATGTCAAGAGCATTGTCCCTTTCAAAAAAAATTTAAAAACAAAGTCTCTTAAGATAGAATATGGTATGATTCAATTTTCAAAACATTCTTGAAATAACTTATAGAGATGGAAAACATTGGTGGTTGTCAGGGATTCAGAAGCACAGAGAGTCAGGCAGCGGGTGTGACTACAAAGTGGTAACACAAAAAAGATCTTCATGGTGATAAACAGTTCTGTATTGCAATTGTGCTGGTGGATACACAAATCTACATGTGATAAAATGACACAGAACTATGTACCCTCTGGTTTTGATATGCTATAGTTAATATAAGATGCAGTCATTGGGAATAACTGGGTTAAAAGTGCATGACACTTCTCTGGACTACCTTTGCAACTTACTGTGAATCTATAATTACTTCAAAGTTAAAAGTTTAATAATATAGGATGTTTGATGAGTAATGGGACAGTTAGGAAATCTCAAAGCAGCTCCTCAGAATATACGTATTAATTATGAAAGAAAAAGACTGACTTTCAAGTGGAGGAGCCTGACAGTCACCACTTCAAGCAAGTGATCAAAAGGAATGTCACTAGAAATAGAATAGACATGTGCCTCAATAGGATGCAATGAATAGAAACAGCATGACTTGTGAGATTCCTGGCACAGATACATGTCTTAATCTAATCAGGAGAAAACAGTGCATATCAAACATACCATAAAACTGGCCCATAATCTTTCAAGAGCGTCAAGATCATAAAAGTCACAGAAAGGTCATGACCAAAGGAAGCTAAAGAGACAACTAAACACAATTTATGATTCTCCTCTGGGTCTTTTTTCTTAGAAAAGGCATTATCTAGGATATAAGTGAAACATGAATGGGGCCTGAGGTTTACACAGCAAGAGTGCAAAGGCATTGGCTGCCTGATTTGGGGTAGTTGTGTTAGGAGAATGTCCCATGTGTAGGAAATGCACACTGAAGTAATCAGGTGTGAGAGACCATCAGGCTGGCAACTTACCCTCAAATGTGTGAGGAAAAATGTTCTTTGTACTACACTTGTAACCCTTCTGTAAATTGATTATTATTTCCTTTTTTATTAGCACTGGAGAGTGAACCATCCCTGGAATTGGCCTACTGAGCCACTGGGTTACAGATGTGCGCCACCACGCCCTGGCTCCAAATTTTTTTCAGTTTTCAAAATGAATGATTTGAATGTCAAAGGATGAGAAATTATTGACCAAACTGATAAAATCCTAGAATGCTCCCACAAAAATGGCATACTTTACAAACAGAACTTGAAAGTGACCTTGACAGAAGTTATATATCCAGTATATGAAAATGTCAAATACACGATTCATTCTTTGTTCAGTCTAAGAATTAGCAGCATACTCTTCTAATTAACAAACTTGTCTGGCTAAAGACTAAAAATTATCTCCTTCCTTTTTGGAAGCAAACTTCCATGAGAACCGGTTAATGAACAGAAGTTCATTATGTGATGAACTATAAGCAGCTATCCCAGGATCTATTACTCTTGGAAAACAAGGATTGCACATATATTTATGGTCTGTTCTGCTACCATGGAAGCTTCTGCCCCAGTCTGGCCAAAAGGGATTGGCAAGAAGATAGAGAATGACATGAGGATACCTACCAAAGAAGGAACAATGAGAATTAAATACAAGTCAGATCCCACCTTGATATCCACTACATATTCACACTGTCACTTGCAGAAACATGATTAGTATTAACTTAACCAGTATTGATCCAGGTCAGGTGATTTCTTCACCTTCTTTTGGTCTGTCATCCATGTCCACTCATGCAGTAGCAACAGAGATTGTCTCCTAAATGTTGACCAGCAAGAGAAGGTTCATATCTCAGGTGGTCAGAATATGAAAATCTAGGCTGAGCACATACTCAGATGGGATCCTTAGAGTACAGTAATCAAATCAGACATGGAAGCCAAGGCCAGCCAGTGAACAAGAAGACTGAAGATCTCTAGTCAGAGCAGAGCTACAAACATTTGCCACAAACGAGCTGGGATGCCAGTAGCTTATTGTTGCTCACCAATCAATCTTGATTACTCGTGGAAAGTCAAGCAAATGTGGTATCTGTCCAGGTGAACCCATACCAGAGACATGCTGAACACTTTACTGACATGATGTCATTTGAACCTCACTTATTTTACGTGCAAGGTAGGTACAAGCATTACTTTCATTCTACAGATGGGAAAACAGGATCACAGAGAAAAGTTCAGTAGCTCAGGCAAGGTCACACAGCCAGCAGATGGCAAACACAGGGTCTGAACCTCAGCAGTCTGCCTCCAAAGCCTACATTCAACTGTTATTCTAACCTTCTCGCAACAACCATCATTGGTGACTCTGTCCCTTATATTACAGTAACAACATGCTTGTGACAGTTCATTGGTTTGTTTCCTACAGGCCTTTCTCATTTTAACAGCATTAGTTACAGAGAAAAGGATAGAGCACGAGGCAAAAGTCCTCCTTCTGAATTTGGAGAAGCATGTAGCCACCTCCAGCTATTACTTTAGTTTGACAAAGTAACAAAGAGCAATAACTGTGAATGGTTACTTAGAACATGTTCCCCTACAACCAGACTCCCCACCTTAAAATAGCATTGCCATGTATCTTTACATATGGCAAGCTACTTGTTCTGGAGAACACACAGTCCAGAAAGCCTTCTGCTGTATTAAATATGGCCATTCTAAAACTAAGCTTAGGGGGCTGGAGTTGTTGCTCAGTGATAGAACGCTTGCCTCATATGTGTGAGGCACTGGGTTTGATTCTCAGCACCGCATATAAACAAATGAATAAAATAGGGTCTGTCAACATCTAAAAAAATATATGTAAAAAATAGATAAATAAAATAAAAATAAGCTTAGGTTTGTATTGGGTGGTTCTGGAGGAATTTTCCCTTCCTTGAGCTGACAACCAATTAATTTAGGAACATCATAATCTTCCAGGCTAGGAAGCCCCTCCTCCCCACCCAGATGTTCTCACAAAAATCTTGTTTTAATCAAGTTTGAGCATGGAAAATGCCACACACTTCAAGGTATACATACATTTGGAGGTTTTTGACTTCCATATAGCCATTTAAGAAGGAATACTGTACCAGACTCCTGGCCGTTGAAGTAATTTCTGGTGGCCAGCGTCAGACCTGGGCAACAAGTGTATGCTGGCTCACCACTGCCACCATCTGCCCAGGGCCCTTCCTCTTCACTCTTCAAGCCAATGGCACAGCTGGTATGTCGGATAACGTTTCTTGATAGCTCTCTAGCCAAGGAAACATGTGATTCACAAGTATTGTTGCTATAGTTCTGCTCCTCTGGCTCTTGTTTCTAGAAACCAAATTAGTTGTCAAACAGTATAATATGACATTCAGACTTTTCTTGGTTGTACTTTTGTGTTTTTTTGTTGGTTTGGGGGGTTTTGAGTTTTTGGTTTTCCAATTCTGGGTATTGAATTGAGGGCCTCACACATGCTAAGCAAGCACTTTGTCAAGTGAGCTACATCCCTGAGCTATATGAAATATATCAACTGGGCTATATTGGCTACATAAAATATATTTCAAACTTTTTACATAAGGGCAATGCTTCAGTTATGGAGAGAAAGTATTGCTCAGTAGCCTGTATTTTCTCCTTCTGTAAACTCAAAATGTTGTGCATTTGAAATATTGTGGCATGAAATAAATCCTATATTTTATAATGACTGCACAGAACAAAGCACTTGTTACACAATTAGTCACCTGCACATATTTGAACCCTATGACCATGCCATCTAATTTGGCCAATAGGACAATCCATTCCTGCCATTGCAAAATATAGCTTCCTAGGAGTCAACTGAATAGGACTAGTGGACAAAAAGTTCTACTAGAATGTTCGTTTCTCTTCTCTCTAGTATCCTCTTCTGTCCTTAAACACCAGCACACTGCTACTTAGAAAATGCCTTCACTTGACCGGATAGTTTTCTTCTTACCATTCTTTTGATCTTTATTTCCTTTCTCATACTGTCAAGGTGAATGGACCTGAAGCTTTCCACTTCCCTGTTTGAACCCCAGATATTCACTGATAATGCCCACCTGACTTCCCATGAGTTGACTCCCAGCCCGCTCCTCTTCCATCTCTCAGATGCTAAACCTAATTATTGTTCTTCCTTTGCCTTCCTTGGTCTCAGCAGCATCCTGATTTTCTACCTTTTGTTTTCCATCATTCTCTCCTTCTCAACTTGATGATCCCATCTTGTTCCTCCACCTCCCTGTCACTTAATCCTAATGATCTCCTCTTGCTAATGGTGTCACTTGGAGCTCATCTCAAAGGCCTTCTCTCTCTTCATATCTCCCCTGGGATCATGGATCCATTTTCAGGCCTTCACTGTTTGCCTCTCTATGAAACCCATGAACGAGCCTATACCTCCCACTGCCTATGGACACTTCTAAGCTAAGCCACTCTGATAATGGTAGCAACACTACAATGCTTTACAGGTTACAAAGCAGGTTCATTTAGATTGTCTCATTGAATAACTGCAAAACCCCTTCTGGATCTCTGTTGATGAGTGTTCTGCTGATAGGAAACTGCCACCCCAAAGTGCTTTCATGGAAGCCTCCTCCTAAGTTCCAGCTGTTGAGGTCCTATTAAAGATTTAGCAACTAGCATCTAAGTGCCTTGGACAGTAACAGAAGGGAAGTAGATAGATGGCCAGAGACTTGACTGCAAAGCTCATCCAGATCTGGGTTCAAATCCCAGTCTTCACACTACTTAGCTGTGTGGCCTTCACATGAATTTTGATTTCCTCCTTTGTCTAATATCACAAGTAGCTCTGAGGATTATTATAAAGATTAACTGGAGGGGCTGGGGTTGTGGCTCAATGGTAGAGTGCTCACCTAGAACATATGAGGCACTGGGTTTGATCCTTAGCACCACAGAAAAATAAAGGTACTGTGTCTATTTACAATTTTAAAAAATTTTTTTTTAAAGACTAAAAATTACTTGGCACAGTGCCTAGCATACAGAAAGAGCTCAATAAATGGTGGCTATCAATGTTCTAAATTTTTAAACCTTTACCTCTAAGTCTTTGGATCCTTCCAAAACATCACTGAGAACTTGTATGTATTCAGTTGCACCTTTAAGGATATCAACTTTGCTAGGCTTCCTGCTTTGGGGAAGAAATGGCACAAGTGCCTTCAGTTTGGCAAAACCACGGTTGAGATTTTTTATCTACAAGACAAAAAGGTACAGACAATGCTGGGTATTGAATTGAGGGCCTCACACATGCTAAGACAACAGACACTAACTTATGCAGACATCCCCCAAACCACAGAAGAGAGCTGTGAGGTCTCGATTCCACCACCCTCTCATCTGGGAGGTGAATCAAGGCAGGCATCCCACAAAGGGTCACATCTCTGTGTGCACTGAACTTAACAGCCAGATGACAGGGGTAGTAGAATCGACTCAGTTCTGCAGGCAGATGGGCTGGAAGGTGTGTTGTTCACACTGACCTTGCTTCATTTCCTTTGAGAATGCACCTACTTCATTACAACAGAAACAATAAAAGTAGGGGCTGAACTCTCTGCAGCAACTACACTAGGATTTTAAAACCCAGCTCCATCCTTGGCCTTTTGGAGCAGGTGGATACTTCATATCACTAAGACTCAGTCTGTTCATCTGCAAAGTAGAAAGTACCTACTATATATCTTTTTGGTGAATAAGAACCATGATGAAAAAAAAAAAAAGCCCTCCTCATCCAGATCTCATACCTAGTCTTCAATAAGCACTATTGTTGCTGAATAAAATGTACATACATCTTTCTTTCATCACTGTGCCCTCAACTTATCAACCTCTTTCCCAGTGAGTTACTGATACAAGGCCAAGTTTGAAAGTCCATATGTTGCTCACACTTCAAAGACTCCTCACTTTTACTTCCCCTATTCTCAAGGTCTAATACCTCAGCTCTGAAGGCCTGGAACATTGATGTTTGTCTGTCTAGAGGACATAGGCTCTGGGAGAGCTGGCCCCTACAACTCCACAAAACCAATATATTGAGAGTTGTCCCAACCTGAAGTGAAACAGATGAGAGACCAGGCTAATTGACAGGAGAATCCAATGACCAGCAAATGTATAAAAAGATTTAAGGTCAATAAATTATAAATATCATTTTTCATGTACCAAACTTGTAACATTTGTTTTGTTAATTGGATCAGGAATACCATGAAAAAGAAAGCAGTCCTGTACTCTGTATCAGGGATAAAAAAATATATAAACCTTTCTTGAAAGCAAGTGGGAAACTTGTATCAAAAGTCATGAGATCCGATGTGCCCTATGTCCCAGTAATTCCACTTCTAGCATTTTTATTCCAAGACCAATTATCAGATACACACAGACTTATACCAGTAAAAAGTTACAAACAACATACAGCCTATCCATGGAAGATGGAATTGGTTATGGTCCATTCCTTTGACTGTAAAGTCAAAAAGAAAACAAGGAAATGCATTTAGTAATGTTAGGTGAAAAGACCTACAATGATAAGATATTGAATAATCACAATTTTGTAAAATTATATACATGACATACAACTAGGAAAAATGAATGACTGAGGGGGACATATGCAAATATGTTCTGGTGGTCATCTGTCATGAGTATTGCCGGTCCCTCTTCAGTCATTTCTGTATTCCCTGGGCATATTGATTTTATCATTATAAAGAACAATAAAGGTAATTAGCTTTCAAGTGGATAAAATGAGGCCCAGTTCTCTACAGAAGGCAACTCCTTCTTGGTGGGAAAGGCTCACTTAAAATGTTGGATTATAATCTCATTTTAGGGCCATCAAATCAGATCAGAGGATAATTTGTATAAAATATCTTGTCTCTGGTGTAAAAAAAAAAAAAAAAAATCATACTTACCCTTTTTTTTACAACTTCCCTAAGTCTTCTGCCCTGACTTGCTCCTTCCTCCTCATACTCTTTCCCATACAAAGCTTTCTAGTAGGCTAATTTCACAGGACCTGGCTGGGGTGTTTAGGGCCTGCCCTCCACAGAACTTATCCTCCAAGCCCTAGACCTAAATGAGCGCTTCTCTGGCTCTTATGTCCCTCGTCCTTCCCCTTATAGGTTCACCTCCATGGCAACCAAGCCCAAAGATTACAAAGGGCAGAACAGAGAGAGAGACCAGACCTGACCATTTGGGGCCAAGTTTTGTTAGAGATACCCAAAAATACCAGCAGATGACGCTCTAACCACGGCCCACAGGATTAACCGCGTCCCCACCCTGACTGGGAAAGTCGCTTTTTTCATTCTGTGGGGTTGAGAAGGAATTTAGGCTCACACTGGAGCACTGTGTTTCGTTACTTAAAAAAAAAAAAAAAAAAATTAAGAACAACAACTTCCATTAAGCCCCCTTCTCCCCCTCACCCTGCATTTGCTCGAGGCTAAGAGGCCACGGTCAAGAAAACAAGTAGGGGTCCCCTTTGTGCCCAAGCACGCCACAGCTTGAGACTGAAGTTCAAGTCCAGCAGCCCTGAACTTTTTAAAAGCACCTGCCAAGGGGAAAGAGTTTTGAAGTTGGCAGGGTCCCCCTCTACCCTTCTCCTGGACCTCCCTGCACAAGTCCAAGAGAGTCAGCAGATGGGGCAGCAATCCCACCCCCAGGAACGAAGCAGCCGGACGCAGGTGCCCAGTAACAAGGCCACTTATTCTCCCGACAAGCTAAGGACCCACGTCGGGCCTCCGGAGGTCCAAGTCGCCTCTAGGCCTGCGTTTCGACGGCAAAGGGGCGCACAGGGGATCCTGCTGATGTTTGGTGGTGGGTACCTCTGCGGGAAGTCAGCTCCCTCCCAGGACGCGGTCGCGTGGTGACCGCGCCCAGCGGCCCTGGGGAACCCCTCACCCGCTCGCGCTCCTTGGCGTTGGCCACGCGCCGCCGCTCCAGCACCAACTGGAGGTCCTCCGTCGACGAGTAGCAGCCCGAGCGCAGCCGCTTCAGCCGGCAGATGGCAGCCAGCTGGGGCAGCGGCCCGAACTGTTCCCGCAGCACGTCTTCCAGCACCTCGGCCTGAGGTGCGCCCAGAAGGACAGGCGACAGGGGACCCGACTCAGGGGATGAGGGTGCAGCGTCCATGACGGCGCGCGGGGGGTCAGCGGGCGTCCGGCTTTCACCTGCCCTGCCGCACCTGAGGCCGCACGAGGCCCGGGCGGGGGCGGAATCTAGACCACCTGTGCGCTTTCCGGACCGCAGAACCGCAAGCCTGCTGCCCTCACCCGAGACGGGCCAGCAACCCCCCAGTTTAACAAGCCCCACCGGTCGGTGATTATCATGAGCGCTGGATTACAACCTGGGGTCTCAAATTTGCAGGCACTGCATGATGCAGTTGAGGGAAGGAGTGGTAAATTCACAGGTGAGGTACCAATCCCCCCAATTAATTTAATTAGTTAATTTAATTAGTCTGAGTTGAGACCTTGGCTCCTGGATGTACTATGCACATGTGTACTTATATACACACGTATAAACTTTTCCCCTGAAATTTTGATGGATGCACACACTATTTTAAAAACTCATTTTGAAATAAAAGGTGCAGAAGTGATCTCGAAAAGAGTAACCAAGAACTCCTGAATTCCCTTCACTGAGTTTATCTCTCTCTTTTTTTTTTTTTTTTTCACGTGTTCCAACTCATTTCTTTTTAGGACTATTCCCATTTTTATTATTTTTTCCCAAACTATTTGAATGTTTGTTGTTTTGAGACACTGTCGCACTATGCTACCCTGGCTGGTGGACCTGACCTCTTGGGCTCAAGCCACACTCCTGCCTCAGCCTAAGATTTGGTAGGACTACGGGTTGTTTTTCTAAAGTAGTTAAGTCGCAGGCGCCAAGTCCCATCACCCCTAAATACCGCAGTGGGTATTTCCTCCTTAACAAGGCCACTCTTCTACACAAAAACAATTGTCGTTCAAACCAGAAAAGTCAACATTGACACTGCCACCATCTAATCCACAGACCTGTCCAAATTCCCCCAGCCATCTCTACAATGCCTTTCTCCTGTCTAGTTAGGATCCAATCCAGGAGCACATTTGATTTTGTCATGGTGTTTCTCTCTCTCTCTCTCTCTCTCAACATTTTTTTAGAAGTAGTTGGACACAATACCTTTATTTTATTTATTTATTTTTATGTGGTGCTGAGGATCGAACCCAGGGCCTTGCACGTGCTAGATGAGCGCTATTACTGCTGAGCCACAATCCCAGCCCTTGTCATGGTGTCTCTTAACTCTCCTTCACTCTGGAACATTTCTTCAGTCCTACCCTAGCTTGCTGAGGTTGACAGTTTGAGTAGCAGAGGGCTTTCATTCTGTAGGTTGTCCCTCAACCAGAATCTGTTCATTGCTTGCTCACATCCAGGCTAGCTCCAGGGGTCTTAAACCTAGTTGATAAAATTTCTCTGGCAATTGAGTTACTGTCCATCTTGGTTTCTGTTGCTGCTGTCAATTTTGTTCTTTTACTGTGTCTTATGAGGTATTTTAGAGGCAGACGAAAAGACATCAGGTACCATTTTTAAAGAGAAAACGCCCCTCTTTCAGACTTCAAATGATACATTTTTTTCATCTAAAAATAAGAAAACATATTAATTCATTTAGCGAGTGTTAGAAAGAATGCAGTTAAATGTACCCCTACACCTTTCCCTGGAGGGCCTCCACTTGCTGCACCAACACCAGGTATGAGCTGGGGTTAATGCCTTGACCACACCACCAGCAGGGTTAACAGTGGGTCGAAAGTGTGACTCCACAAAGAATAGAGAAGAGGAACTGACACAGAGGCACTCCCCCCAGGCTTTGTCCCCACGGTTCTCTAACTGTCGTCACTTCACAGAAATATAAAGATCAAAACGCTGACTTTTTCAGCTAGAAAGGGTCAAGGCCAGGATTAGACCCCAGATATAATAGATCTATAAGTACCAATCTCTCCCTGCCCCACTTAACTCCTCCCGTATTGTGATAGCTATGATTTGTGAGCCTGATAAAAAGTCTAGAAACTATGCTGTTGTGCAGATCCGTGACCCAGGCAGAGGGGTGATCCGAGCACCAGTGCAGAAGTCACAATAAGAGCTGGTTGAGGATGTGTAAGGGGCTTGGTTCAGTTCTGGTTTCCCCCATTTCAGAGATGTGATGAAAGGTGCATAAGGACCACATTGAAGAGAGCCCAGGTTTCAGTCCCAGAATCTAATGGTTCGTCACAACTAAGAAGGAAGACTGCAACAAAAGCAGGGCTTTGGAGAGGTTCAAAAGGCAATGGGGTGCGCTACTTTGGGGGTGTAGGAGGAGCTGAGAGACACAGCTAGGCTATGGACACCCTGCAGCCTGGGACCTTGTTCTGCAGAAGGAAGCTAGTATAGCCTTCCTCTTGAGTCCCAGATGGAAGGCTTCTTTTTTTTTTCCTAAAGCACATGGGCCCTCAAATCTCCCAAGAGTAATCCAGGTCTCTTTCCTCCTCCATGACTCCCACTGGGGCTGGGACTTCTAGAGTTTGTTGCCTTTAAACTGCAGCAGAAATGACTAGAGGCAGAGGTAGAGCTATGTATAACTGATTCATATAAGTGAGAACACTACAGAAGGGGAAGGTCCCTCTAGCAGGCATGGTGCGGGCATTCAGGAGGGTTAGACATGAGCCCAAACTTGGGTATCTAGGCAGTAACTGCTGTAAAAATTCAGAGCATGGAAGATGGGGAATTCGTTGGTAGAAGATAATCAAAGTTACTGACCAAACTCATAAACTAGTGGCTTCCCTCATCCTCAAAATGTTGCTGCATCTTCCTCTATATTGTGTTCATTCTCTTGACTGACAAACTTCTCCTTGTCTGTGGGAGGCCAACCTTACACGTGACTGAGTTACACTCCCCGGCTGGGTGCTGAGGCACTCCGTTGCAGAAATGTGGCGCCCTTCTTGGGTGCGAGGGTTGGTGTCTCATGCATGGGTGTGTCTTGCTACAGCCCCATGGGTGAAGCTATGCTCACCTGTTCCTTTGTAATATAACCCTTTGCCCTGTTTAGGATAGAATCTTCCATGGAAGTGCCTTGGGTGTGGCCTACCCAGGTGTCAGTCAACCTGCTGACAGTGGACATAATGAAGATATTCAGCCCCCTGAAACCTGACCCCTTGCCTCATTTAAATAACTTCTCCTCAATAAAAGGGGTCAGCGCACACTCTCACTCTCTCTCTTCCTGCGAACCCTTAAGGTCAGAGGAGCTGTCACAGCAACCCCAAGGAAAAAGGTATTTGTGTCTCTTGTGTGCTTATTTCGTGCAGCCCAGTTAGCCCCGTTTAACTGGAGTGACCCCTGAACCTTTTAGTCACGAGAACAGAAACCCGGCACTTGTCCTCAGAAAACCAGGCCTGGGAGATCATTTCAGGACAGCTGTCATGTTTATTGCTTCTTCTCCCTATGCTGGAGTCAGGCCATTCCCTAAATCAAAATGTGTGGGACCCTACCTTCCATTAGGTATGGGTTCTCATACCCAGAGAGAAAATCTCTGAAGATAGGGGCACTGGAATGTCAACAGCACAGCCCATGGAATGACAATTGTCACAGCCTGCTAATTCCACCAAAGTAGTCCATGTCCCAGAGCAGCAGCTCTATGGAGTTCCCATAGTGGAGCCAGAGTGGGCAGGTACTCCAGGGTGAGAAGCTGTCCACTTCCCCCAAGTCAACTGAGAACCTAACTTCTCTGTCTCCCCAGATGGCTCCAGCCAGTCTATGGAGAACTTCATTCTTCTGCCTCTCTCTTGGGAAATTGAAACTTTCAGAACCTACTCTGGAGAAGAGAAGGAACCAACCCAGGCATTACAAGTGAGCCTAGCATATTAGCAGGAAGGAGTCCTTCAGGTTAACCTGCCCTTGTCCCACTTCCTCTCCATTATCTTCAGACCACAGGCTGTGGTTGACTGGATTGATGATGAACAGGTGCTTTCTACTGTGGAACGTCTGTGCCCCTAGGTTTCTAGCTCCACAGGATTCCTTCTGAACTACCTCTTCACGCTAGCTTCATGAGGACTGGGATTTTTATCCTTTGGTTCAATGTTGCATCCCTAAAACTTAGAAAAGTGCTTGGTACATGGTAGAGGCATAATAAATATTCTTTGAATGAATGAACTTTGATATAAAGTGAAATTCCTCACATATATTTAAAGGTTATGAATCTTTATACATTAATCAAAGTAACTTTGAAATATATAAATAAAAGCTCTTGGAGAAGCCAGGTGTGGTGGCACATGCCTGTAATTCTAGCAGTTCTGGAGGCTGAGGCAGGAGAATCACAAGTTCAAAGCCAGCCTCAGCAAAAGCGAGGCACTAAGCAACTCAGTGAGACCCTGTCTCTAAGTAAAATACAAAATAGACTGGGGATGCCCCCGCAGTGTGGTCGAGTGCTCCTGAGTTCAAGCCCCAGTACCCCCCCCCCCAAAAAAAAGCTACTAGAGAGTTTAAATATGGCTACCTTCAGAGGAAGGCTCCATTTCCAGTTGCTCTGGGTTCCCAATTCAAGCAGCAAGAATATTGATCAATGAAATTCAATTATAGATAGTCAAAGTCTCTTAGAGACTCAGAAATTCTGGTGCATTGAACAAAGAACAAGAAAGAGTCCATTGGAGCTAAACCTGCAGCTGTGCTGGTTCACCACAGAGAGAGGGTAACACAGAGAGAGAAACACAATGGACAAAGATGACAGAGAAAACCCTACAGAACAGAAAAGCAGCCTGAACTTAGCTGATCCAGAGGCTGCATAGCAAAAAGTTCTGTTCAAAAAGTTCTATGTATTTCTCACCAAGCAAGGAGAGACCTGAAGTGGGGCCATCTTGAGGCAGCCATGCTGCAACTTGCTGCAGCAGAAGCCAGGAGATCACAGCAAACACTGCCATGCTGTCCTGGCAAGAGCCTACCACGTGGCCCAGGGTGTACCTGGCAGAACGTGAGTGAAACAGGCACAGACACCATTGTACCCAGGGAGATTCAAGTCCGAAAAATAGAAGGCTGAACAATTCACTTTCTGTTAGAGTCTGGTGGCTCATGTGACCAGCTAAGAAGGGTCAGGAAACTGAACAGGAGGGCATGATTACTCTCAGAGACTAAGCCTGGGA